TGGGGAGAGTCCAGAGGAGAGCAACAAAAATGATCAAAGGTTTAGAAAACCTGACCTGTGACAAAATGTTAAAAAACTGGGCATATTTAGTCTTGAGAAAAGAAGACTGAGGGGGGACCTGATACAGTCTTCAAATCTGTTAAGGGCTGGTATAAAGAAGAGGAGGATCAATTGTTCTCCATGTCCAATGAAGGTACAACAAGAAGTAATGGTCTTAATCTGCAGCAAAGGATTAAGGAAAATCTAACTCCAAGGGGAGTTAAGCACTGGAACAGGCATCCAAGGGAAGTTTTGGAATTACCATCACTGGAGGTTTTTAAGAACAGGTTGGACAAACACCTGTCAGGGATGATCTAAGTTGACTTGGTCCTGCCTCAGCTCAGGGGACTGGACTCGATGGCTTCTCGAGGTCCCTTCCAGCCCTACATTGCTATGATTGTGTGAATCGTCAGCTGGTGTAACTCAGTTGTAGTTCTATTCACTTCTGCGGAGCTACTCTGATGTCTGCCAGATGAGGATCTTTGGCCTCTTGTTTTTTGATTGAAAATAAAACTGACCATAGAGACACTAGCCTTCCCAAGGTTAAAATCAAAATAATAGCTGGGATTCACTGGGTCTCCTTTGGGACAATGCACAGCACTAGCTCCATTATGCTTTTTTTGGGCAGTTAGTGGTGTATTACGATATACATTAGTACCATGGCTGTTCTGAACATTAATGGCAAAACAATGTGGAGAATAAAGAATGGGAATCCCTTCCCTCCCTCTCCCACCCAGGAACTACGGGCAGAGGGAAGATGTTTTGTGTTCCCTTAAAGAGTGAATGCATGCCCATTAAGTAAACATTTGCCCAAGCATCACTGGCCTGATTACAAAGAAGTAACATTTTAAAGAAAAAAGCAATGATGAGAGAACAAAGTGACAAAGCACAAAGATAAGAAAGGAATTCCCCAAAGCATTATCATTCTTTGTACAACACTGATAAGCTCTTGGGAGGAGTCTCTCCAACTACAAAAGCAATATGCATCAGGGCCCTGTTCTTGAAAAGTTCATTCACCTGCTTAACTTGACACACATGAGTAGAGCCATTGATTTCAGGGAGCTTACTCATGTGCATGAAGTTAAGCACATACAAAAGCGTTTGCAGGATCGGGGCCTATTTAGACACTTGGAAAGCTTCAGAAACCATTCTGCCATCTGGACATTATACTAATGTGGGTTTGTTTTTTAATTCACTGAAATGGGAAAACGTATCCCACTGTCTGATGCTACTAGCCTCATGGAAAATTTACTTGATCAACACATTTCTGATTTGGCCTTGTTTCCACTGCAGGCCCAGACTAGGAGACCCTTCACACTCAAGCTGAATCCAGTGGAAAAGAAAATTATCTTCCTAGTTCGCACAGAATTCTTCAGGAAATACAATCTTGATCGAACAAAAGCCGCATCACTGACATAGGCTGGTAGTACATGTTAATGCCTAGATGCCCCGGCTGAGATCAGCGGCTTACCAAACACACACTGAGACAGTCCTTGCCCCAAACAGCTAACAGTGTAAGAGTATGTCTACTCTAGAGCTAGAGGTGTAATATCCAGCTCAGGGAGACTGAGCCAGCTTTGGTAGAGCTAGTGTGGAGTTGCAGCTGCCCAGGAAATGGAATGAGTTACCCAGGCCGAGCACAGTCCTGTCTGAAACCCAAAGTATGTACTCCAGAACTCTTGCTTCCCGGCTCAGTGCCCTATCCAGTAGATCATGTTGTCTCCATAATTGTTTTTTAATTCTTTCCCATGAGAAATAACCCCCAAATAAAGTCTCTCACTGCATAATCTGCCAGACTATCCTGTGTTCTAAATTAAATGAGGACTTAAGGAAACATCATGGGAACAGTTATAGGGCTTGTAAATTGTATGTGAGCTAATTTATTGCTGCAGCATTGCTTGTTTCACAGTTTCCTGGCATCATGAACAATATTATTGGCCAGATCCTAGAATTACACTGATTTACAGCACCTGAGGATCTAACTCCACATTTCAATTCAAGGTTACGCAGGTATCAAAGTGAACATGACGTATTCTGGCCCCTACCACGGCATTTACGGGAAGCTAAGTTTGATTGTCAAGAAGAGACATTAATGCATGGACTAGAGTGAGATGGTACAAGAGCTTTAAACACAAGTGGGAGCAGCAGAGCATGCAAGGATTACAGCACAAGCAAAGCATGAGTCTATTTCAGTGGTCCCCAAACTTTTTAAGTCGGGCCCCCCTTGCCCATAATGTAGTTTGCCTGTGTCCTCCTGGGAGCCGCAGCTGGGAGCTGGGGAGCGGGGCTGTGGTTAGGGCCAGGAGCGGAGCCGCAGCCAGGGTTGGAATCAGGGCCGGTAGCCAGGCTGTGGTCAGGAGCCGGGGGCTGATGCCCGGGGCTGGGGTCTGAGCCGCAGGCAGGGCCAGGAGTTGGGGTCGGGGCTGGGGCTGGAGCTGGAGCGGAGCTGGGGGCAGAGTGGGGCTCAGTGGCACTCCCTCCCCGCCCCCCCCTCCCTGTTGGGGCTGGCCCAAGCCCTACCGGGCCCCTACAAACATTCCCCTATGAGGGACCACTGGTCTACTTGCTGTGAAGAAATATTTACAAGCTCTCCTCAACTTTGATGCCTTGTCATCAGGCAGCTGGTGTACTGTGACCACTGCCTTTCATGCTGTCCAGTTTTGTTCCATTGTTTCCTTGTGCCCCCTGGCCTGTTGTCTCATGGCTTATGGTTATACTGTAAGCAAACAGTAACTATTAATGGAATGATGTCAGATTGGAGGGAGGTCTCAAGCGGGGTTCCACAGGGATCTGTTCTGAGTCCGGTGTTATTTAACAGCTCTAGTAAGGACCTGGATGTTGTTACCCGAAATTGGGCCAGCTAGTAAGCTTAGGGAGGACTAATGACCCACCAGAGTTTGGCAGAAAGCAGCACGTTTATTATACTGATAGCACTGGAGATGTCAGGATTCTTCAAGGTAAGTGTCCCACAGCGCAGTAATGGACGGTGCGATGAAGGTACGATGGAATGCAACGCGGCGAACCACTGGCCAGGCGGTCTGGGCGAAGGGCCTTCACGGGAGGTACAAGCAGGGCCGGCTCCAGGCACCAGCTTAGCAAGCAGGTGCTTGAGGCGGCCCCTCTGGAGAGGGGCAGCACGTCCGGCTATTCGGCGGCGGGTCGCTCACTCCCGCTC